TAGTTCTTTTCTTTTTATCCGTACATGAATTTATACATTTTAACTGGTTGTGTATGTGCTTATTTATTTGTTATTTATTGTTTATTTTTGAGATGGAGTCTCACTCTGTCGCCCAGGAGTGCAGTGGCACAATCTCGGATCACTGCAACCTCTGCCTCCTGGGTTCAAACGATTCACCTGTCTCCGCCTCCCAAGTAGCTGGACTACAGGCATGTGCCACCACACCCTGCTAATTTCTGTATTTTTAGTAGAGATGGGGTTTCACCATGTTGGCCAGACCAATCTCTAACTCCTGACCTCATGATCCACCTGCCTCAGCCTCCCAAAGTGCTGGGAATACAGGCGTGAGTGTATGTGCTTCTTTTCCATATCTAATGCCTTCCTGGAGTAGGAAGCTCCAATGGCTGTAGCACTCCTGGTTTTAGTGGAGATGAGTGACTCACCTAATAGGTGACGTTGGGAAGAAAAAACCTCGTGTACTTGCCTCAGCTCTTCCCTTCTTCCCCTGGGGAGTGAGGGCTTGCACAGAGCACTGATGTTCTCATCTGCTTCTCTTGGTTCAGCGACAGGCTGAAGTCAAATTATTAATCAAGTGAAGTATAAAGACATCATTGGGCATGCAAATGCTTAAGACGTTTACTTCCTCTTCATTCTTCCTCAGGAAGCTACTGAAAAATTTTCAAATTCCAATATTGGAATGGTCCAGGAAAAGGGAAGAGATGGTATACAGGAAGCAGAGGCTTCAAGATGAGAAGGGTAATGGGGGGTCCTGGATGTTGAAGGGAACCCCTAAAATACTGTGTTTGTTATTTGTAGGGCAGGCCCAGTTTGGAGCAAGAGGATGGTGGGCTGGGGCTGACAGTTACCCAGTGCATGATTGTATTGAGAGACGTTAGACATTTAGAGGAAAGGGTGGGAATAAAGCAATGATAGGTATTCAGAAAACTAAGCAAAAACCAAACTCCAGAGAAAACAGAGTCGTACAAAGAAGGAAGTGTAATCATACTGTCCTGTATGACTTAGCCATGAAAAACATTGAATTAATCATATTGGGTTTTAAAATATTCATTTATTTATAATAGAGCTGGTCTTGCTCTGTTGCCTAGGCTGGTCTCAAACTCTTGGCCTCAAGCAGTCCTCCTACCTCAGCTTCCCAACGTGCTGCAATTACAGGTGTGAGCCACTATGCCCAGCTATCCTATTTTTTAAATCAATAATTGTGACATAATTAGATGGAGAAGAAGAGGAGAGCAGGTGGGGCTAGGCAAGAGGAGTGTTAGCGTGCCAGATTCCATCTGTCCTTTCCAGAAGGAAGAACAAACATCCCCAAAACTGAAAAAAAAAAAAAAAAGCCAAGAATTAACAATGTGTATCAATTATTTAGAAATATGGGGGATAATAAATACTAGAAGAAACAATGGAAGGAATTCAGATGGTCAGCTCTGGGAGTGCAGATGAGGAAGGGGCTCAGGGACTGCTGTTCCTCACTAAAGGCCTGACGTTATTTGACTTTTTAAACTGTGGACGTGCATTCCTTTCAAATAAAAACTTAATTTTAAAAGCATTGAAAGGTTGAATGTGGTGGCTGACACCTGTAATCCCAAAACTTTGGGAGGCCAAGACAGGAGGGAATGCTTCAGCACGGGATTTTGAGATCAGCCTGGGCAAAACAGCAAACTCAATCTCTATTTTAAAATCGTGTGTGTGTGTCAGTCCAGATGCAGTGGCTCATGCTTGTAATCCCCACACTTTGGGAGGCCAAGGCGGGCAGATCACAAGGTCAGGAGATCGAGACTATCCTGGCCAACATGGTGAAACCCTGTCTCTACTAAAAATAGAAAAAATTAGCCAGGTGTGGTGGCACCTGCCTGTGGTCCCAGCTGCACAGGAGGCTGAGGCAGGAGAATCACTTGAACCAGGAGGTGGAGGTTGCAGTGAGCTGAGAATGTGCCATTGCACTCCAGCCTGGCCTATAGAGCAAGACTCTGTCTCAAAAACAAACAAAAAATGTGTGTGTGTGTACACTTTTCATATACATGTGAAAAAGAAATTAGCAGGGCATAGTGGCTTGCACATGGAATTCTAGCTAAATGAGGGGCTAAGGCAGGAGGATTGCTTGAGCCAAGGACTTCAAGGTTATGTTTGATCTATGCCTCCACATTTTCAGAGAGGCTGACTTGAGTCATAACAAAACTCTGATCTCCCATTTAGCCAGCTCTGTGTGTATTAAACTCTCTCTGTTGCAGTTCCCCTGTCTTGATAAAGTTCATAACTCAGTGGCATGAACTGTTACTGCACCACTGCACTCCAGCCTGGGTCACAGAGTAAGACGCTGTCTCAACAATCAATCAGTCAAGTCATTCCTGACAGTGATTTAGTATCTAAATGGAACTTCTGATTTCCAGCCCTTACTCTCTTCCTATCAGCTGGATTCTAGTTGACAAACTCCACATTCCACACTTCATAAAACCACAAAGAATGGACATGTACAGTTGCTCAGAATGTAGCCTTTTCTGTTTCTAAGATCTGAGAAAACTCCCCCCGAGTTCCTTCTCCAGGAAACCCCATCTAATGATGTGATTAGCATCCTCCACAACATGCCTATTCCAAATACAAGTAAGGTTCATGAATCTACATGACTTTTTTTTTTTTTTTTTTTTTTTTTTGAGACGGAGTTTCGCTCTTGTTACCCAGGCTGGAGTGCAATGGCGCGATCTCGGCTCACCGCAACCTCCGCCTCCTGGGTTCAGGCAATTCTCCTGCCTCAGCCTCCTGAGTAGCTGGGATTACAGGCACGCGCCACCATGCCCAGCTAAGTTTTTGTATTTGTAGTGGAGACGGGGTTTCACCATGTTGACCAGGATGGTCTCGATATCTTGAGCTCGTGATCCACCCGGCTCGGCCTCCCAAAGTGCTGGGATTACAGGCTTGAGCCGCCGCTCCCGGCAGACTATTTTTTTAATAGCCCCCTCTGTGCCTAACACTAAAGCACAGCTCAGCCAAAGCAAGTGTGTGAAAGTTGAAAGTACTTAACGTTTTGGTTGCAACCGAAGCCAGAGGCAGGTGCCAGCGTAGTCAGAGAAACAGGTACATATCTCTTAGGCACTTCTCTGCCAATATTACTTTTTCAAATAAGACTTTTGATGAGGTCAGTTAACACACATGGAATGCAGGTATTCTGTTGCAGATCATCTAATAGACGAAACAGAGAGAATACCATCTTTTTATGAGAATCTGAGAGCCGACCTAACTTTAGGCTGGCTTTAGGCATCTGGACACGTGCATTCCATCTCCATCCAGACGTTTGTTCCAGTGGAGTTGCGGCTGCTGCCGGCTAGTGCTAATTCCCAGTCAGCCCTATGTGCACCCAGATCATGCTCTGATAGCCAGAGAACAGTCTCAAAAGCACCACCACCAGAGGTTCTGTACTGAAATAGGGCCGAAAGGATCGGGTGAGTCAGCAGTGCCTGCTGCGGGAGGTGGCTGTGGGCTGAGCTAGGATTTGGCTTTTCTGGGTGCCTTGGTTTAATGTCATCTAATAACTACCATAGTGCCCCATTGCTCCTAACAGTTATATGCATGACGCATCTTCTGATGAATTTCCATTTTATAAATTTAAATTTTATCAGCCTGACCAATATGGTGAAACCCCATCTTAAAAAAAAGAAAAAAAAATTAGGCTGGGTGTGATGGCTCACGCTTGTAATCCTAGCACTTTGGGAGGCTGAGGTGGGTGGATCACCTGATGTCAGGAGTTCAAGACCAGCCTGGCCATCATGGTGAAACCCACCTTTAAAAAATAAATAAATAAATAAATTTTATGAGGTCTTTTTTTTTTTTACTTTTAATAATTTTTAACCACACAGAAGCATGTGGTTAAATAAAAATTACCAGCATAGATTTTTTTCCCAATGGGAAATCGATTATAAAATACATATTTCAAAACAACTTCAAAAAGAGATGTATTAGAAATCCAGAGTTTTACGATTTAATGGTAGACATTGGGGCTAGACATTCTGACCTTTGTATAACAGGTGGCAAAAAATAATATTCCAGTTTTGTAATTTGACACCTATTCATGTAACTGCCCCATGAGTTCTTTTTCTTTACTGAAACAGAGCAGATTTATTGAGACAGGGGAACTGCAATCGAGGAAGATTTTAATACACATAGAGCTGGCTAAATGGGAGACCAGAGTTTTGCTATTACTCAAATCAGCCTCTCTGAAAATTTGGGGACTAGGGATTTTTAAGGATAGTTTCATGGAGTGGGGCTGGGGAATGGGGGATGCCAATTGGTCCTGCTGGGGATGAACTCATAGGAGGCTGGAACTTGTCTTCTTGTGCTGAGTCACTTGCTGGTTGGGGACCGAAAGACCAAAAGAGCCAGCTTGGCAGTCTGGGTGGTGCCAGCTCATCCGTCAGAATGCAGGATCTGAAAAATAGCTCAAATACTAATCTTAGGTTTTATAGTACTATATCTGTAGGTGCAACTGGGGAGTTTAGGAATCTTGTGGTCTCTGGCTGCATGACTCCCGAGCCATAATTTCTAATCTGTGGCCAATGTGTTAGTTTTACAGAGGCAGTCTGGTCCACAAGGAAGAAAGGGGTTTGTTTCCGGGAAGGATCTAGGTAATCATCTTGGTTTCATAGTGAAACTATGAACTAAATTCTTCCCAAAGTTAGTTTGGCCTATGCCCAGGAATAAACAAGGGCAGCTTAGAGGTTAGAAGCAAGATGGAGTCAGTGAGGTCAACTTTCTTTCGCTGTCAGATTTTTCTCACTGTCCTCGTTTTGCAAAGGTGATTTCATTCATATTCCCCATGGTATCTAACTGCGTGCTTTAACATCTTTATTTCCTAATGGGGAGAACACACTCATGAGCAAGCTCAGTGGGCCCTGTCTACAAGGTAACTGTAAACAGCGTTGCTTTTCTGAAGTTAACTGTATGAAAATCTATACAGAATCAACTACAAAGGAAAACACTGAACATTAAGATACCGATTTTTATTATTTATTTCAGTTTTCCAGGATAATACAGTGGCGCAGAGAGCTGCAACACATAACTGGGTTTGGAGAAACTAATCCTTGTGAAAACCAATTAGGTAATAGAGAACCTGTGCAAAGTTCTCTGGCCATCCAGACCAATCCACACCAGCCATTGTTTCCAAACAATCTTTTAGATTCTTGTGGTCTCTAAGCTCCTTGACGTAAGACGAGTTGTTGCATGTCATGACAGAGAGAACATAACAAGTCCAAAATTGAAGGAGGAGGTAGCTGTTTATTTCACTTCCGATAGAAGACTCAAAGCTGCCCTCTAAAAAACTAACGAGTATAGGAATAAATTGCAGACTTCTGGCTCTTTTCTGGCTGAGAGGGTTTAAGTAACACCAACATGCCACACTCTGGAGCAGCAGGATCTTTATTTTTGGCGCCAACTCCTCATCTTGCAGCAAGTGAGCCACTTCTTTCATGTACTCAGCTGCAGATTTCCCAGCAGGTGGTCCTCCTGTAAAACAAGTATTTGCATTTCCAGAAGTATTCAATGTATCCTGTAGCTAGTAACACTTCGGAATGCTACTGTACTTTCATATTCTTGTTGCCCTATACAGACACTTTGTATATTTTGAATTTTCCTTTTTCCCCACTTCCCATTTTGCTGCCATGAAGATCAGAATGTGTGTGTTGATAAGCAAGGAGTGAGAGAAAAAACATGGCAAGGTCTCTGCCTGCTGGTCTCCTCCCTGGTTCCTTTAAGCAAGCACCCAGGAATGAGTATTTCTTTTCTTTTTCTTTTTTTTAGGAGGGGGAAGGGGTCTCCCTCTGTCGCCCAGGCTGGAGTGCAGTGGCGTGATCTTGGTTCACTACAACCTCTGCCTCCTGGGTTCAAGCGATTCTCCTGCCTCAGCCTCCCGAGTACCATGGAGTCAGGCGTCCACTACCAAGCCCAACTAACTTTTGTATTTTTAGTAGAGACACAGTTTCACCATGTTGGCCAGGCTGGTCTTGAACTCCTGAACTTGTGATCCACCTGCCTCAGCCTCCCAAAGTGCTGGGATTACAGGCATGAGCCATCGTGCCCAGCCAATTGGGAGTGAGTATTTCAAGGTGAATAAAACCGGGCTGTGTTTGCTTAGCAAATCTCCTTCATGATCTCATTGTGGATTATCTGCCTTTAGTACTGGAAAAAAACCAGAAGGATCCCAGAGCATCAGAGCCAAGAGCAAATTGAGAGGTTGAGCAGCACCGCCAGGGACTGACCAGTGGGGAGGGAGGTTTTCCTTAGTTTCTATCCATTGCTGTCCTGTTCCCCTTACACATTTCTTGCCTCAACTCTTTTGCAGCTATGGCACCAACACGACCTTACAAGATTTTTCTGGTTTAGCCACTGACCCAGTGTGGCCCTAGACTCTGCTTTCACCATGTATCTGACCTTCTGTGCCAATCTCAAACTCCAACAAGGTACTAGCCAAGAAGACACTAGATGAAGACTTTTGAGGTGGTGAGGAGTAGCTGGGAACGCTGGTCAGATTTTTGCCACTGGAGTTGTTTGTTTTCTGGGGTTCTTCTTGAGACAGGGTCTCGCCCTGTTGTACAGGCTGGAATGCAGTGGCGCGATCTTGGCTCTTGCAACCTTCACCTCCTGGGTTCAAGCAGTTCTACTGCCTCAACCTCCCAAGTGGCTGGAATTACAGGCGCGTGTCACCACAGTTGGCTAATTTTTGTATTTTTAGAGATGAGGTTTCATCATGTTGGCCAGGCTGGTCAAGTGATCCAGCCACCTCTGCCTCCCCAAGTGCTGAGATTATAGGCGTGAGCCACCGCGCCTGGCGCCACTGGAGTTTTGATCCCACTTGGATTTTTTTTTTTTAATTATCTTTATTTTATTTTATTACTTTTTTTTTTTTTTTTTTTTTAAGATGGGGTTTCACCATGTTGGTCAGGCTGGTCTTGAACTCCGGACCTCAGGTGATCCACCTGCCTTGGCCTCCAAAGCGCTTGGATTACAGGCATGAGCCACCACACCTGGCTGGATTTCTCTTACTTGTACTCCACAGTTTCATGGTCCTAAGAATGTTATATTCAACGTTAACGCTTTGCCTGAAGCCTAGGCAGAGGCCCTTTCCCTAGCTCCTACCAGAACAGCTAAGGCTAAATACCATCAGATTAAAGAATTCTGATCCTTTTATAATTAGCTAGCTCTTCCCATGATTGGTGAAGATAGCTACACAGAGACTCAGCCTGCCCCATGACGGGGGAGCCCTTTCTCCCGCCCAGATGGCTGCATCTCCTATGCTTCCGGTCTCCCTTCTAGCTGGTCCCAGCCATTCTGGCAACAAGGACTCCTTGACTGTCTTCTTTCATGAAGTCCATTCTTTAAAAGATTTAGTCTATCAAACTACACCTAAGTAATTCATTTTCCCACTTAAAACTCAGTCTAAGGGGCCAGGCGTGGTGGCTCATGCCTGTAATCCCAGCACTTTGGGAGGCCGAGGCAGGTGGATCACGAGGTCAAGAGATTGAGACCATCCTGGTCAACATGGTGAAACCCCGTCTCTACTAAAAAATACAAAAAATTAGCTGGGCATGGTGGCGCGTGCCTGTAATCCCAGCTACTCAGGAGGCTGAGGCAGGAGAATTGCCTGAACCCAGGAGGCGGAGGTTGCGGTGAGCTGAGATCGCGCCATTGCACTCCAGCCTGGGTAACAAGAGCGAAACTCTGTCTCAAAAAAAATAAAAACAAACAAAAAAAATTAGCTGGGCAGGGTGGTGCACCTGTAATCCCAGCTACTGGGAAGGCTGAGGCAGCAGAATCACTTGAAGCCGGGAGGTGGAGGTTTCAGTGAGTCGAGATCAGGCCACTGCACTCAAGCCCAGGCAACGAGCGAAACTCCATCTCAAAAACATTAAAATTAAAACAATCAATCTAAGACTCTTAGAGCCACCAGCCAGAGCTTCTCATTAGGAAATGTGTTATTGAGGACAGGGACAGTCTATAAAATCTCATTACACATCCTAAAATTTATCAATTAGAAAAAAAATGGAGTGAGTTTGGACTTGATGATTATTAGAGCAATGTGTGTTCAAATGGTTACCACTTCATTTTCCACTTTACTTTCTAGCCAGTTATACATTAATCGTTGCCCCTGTTGGCTTACGTAGCAGGTGTCTTAAGAGTAGTAAGTTTTTGGCTGGGTGCGGTGGCTCATGCCTGTAATCCCAGTACTTTGTGACGGGGGGAGGTTAGATCATGAGCTCAGAAGTTCAAGACCAGCCTGGCCAACATGGTGAAACCTCGTCTCTACTAAAAACACAAAAGATCAGCCAGCATGGTGGTGTGTGCCTGTAATCGCAGCTACCTGGGAGGCTTAGGCAAGAGAATTGCTTGAACCCAGGAGGCAGAGGTTGCAGTAAGCTGAGATAGTGCCACAGCACTACAGCCTGGGCAACAGAGCAAGACTCTGTCTCAAGAAAAAAGAAAGAATATTAAGTTTGTATTGATTTTTCTAAGATATTTACTGTATAATGCAAAAAATAAAAAGTAAAATATCAGGTAGTTTTATTCTGCATTGGAATAATATCTCTAGATTGAAATTATATCAGAATCTGTCATAAGATTAGAAAAAAAGAAATATCAAACCAGTGTAGTCTTCAATTTTTTAAATGTTAATGAGAACTTTGATAGGCATTTTAGTACATATATATTTTAATTAATAAAAATGAGAAACATTTAACTAGTAGCTTATTTGATGGGCACATTTTTTTAAAACATGATATCGTTGAGTAGAAAATAATTAGTAATATTTTTGGTGCAAAGACAAAATAATTTGATCCAGTGAAATGTTAGCAGAATTTTAAGATTACTGCTGACCAAAACTGCTAAACTACAGTGTTGTGAGTGTGGAGAAACACTCACGTTAGCGCAGCCGGTTGGGTCATTACCTGTGAAGGCCAGCAGTCCAATTTTCCTGGCAGCTTCAGCTCTCTTCGCAATGGGTAGAGATTCATTCATCAACATTTGGCCAAGTACAACAATTTTTTCTTCATGAAAATTAGGCTCAGCTGGAGGGATTTGTTTTTCCTTCTTAACAAAAAAGCCCTTCACAGTGACAGACCAGAAATACCGGAGGTGCTGACACAGCCTCGCAAAATACCCATACATCTTAACACAAATTTGCGTACAAGAAAATCGGCTGTTAGCCATTGTGTAAAAAGGCCAGTGGCCCTTCAGGTAACACCACTGGCAGTCACAGGAGTTCACAGTCAAGAACTCTGGAATGCATCACTTAGCAACACTGTAGAATGGAATATACAAACCAGAGGAAAGCAATATATTCCTAAATTCTTCAGCTTGTCATTGAAGGCCTTCTGCCACTTGGACTAAACCAATTTTACAAACCGGGGGAAAGCAATATATTCCTAAATTCTTCAGCTTGTCATTGAAGGCCTTCTGCCACTTGGACTAAACCAATTTTACAAACCGGGGGAAAGCAATATATTCCTAAATTCTTCAGCTTGTCATTGAAGGCCTTCTGCCACTTGGACTAAACCAATTTTACAAACCGGGGGAAAGCAATATATTCCTAAATTCTTCAGCTTGTCATTGAAGGCCTTCTGCCACTTGGACTAAACCAATTTTACAAACCGGGGGAAAGCAATATATTCCTAAATTCTTCAGCTTGTCATTGAAGGCCTTCTGCCACTTGGACTAAACCAATTTTACAAACCGGGGGAAAGCAATATATTCCTAAATTCTTCAGCTTGTCATTGAAGGCCTTCTGCCACTTGGACTAAACCAATTTTACAAACCGGGGGAAAGCAATATATTCCTAAATTCTTCAGCTTGTCATTGAAGGCCTTCTGCCACTTGGACTAAACCAATTTTACCTTCACTTCTCCGGTGTGCAAAACCTCGCCTTAAACTTGTTTCCCCTAATGCATATGAATCTCACTACCGTCTTTGAACCTTTGCTCAGGCAGGGCAGATTTGGAACTTGCCCATTCTAGTCCGACTATTCCCACATGTACTTAGCTTTCCACTGAGCTTTCATAGTATTATTACCTCTTTTGCTTGGTTGCTACCCAAAGAGAGTTCTCTGCATCATAGGTTTGTCCTGTTTTGCTGAGAAAATAGAAGCAATTTAAAGAGAACTTTTGTTACCAATTACTGCAAATAAAAAAAAAAAAAGAAGAAGAAGAAGGAAAGAGAACTCGCATAACTCTTACCCACCTGCCTATCTGTGTCTACAGAACCCATGGACTGACTTTCCTCTGATTGCTATGGATACCCTCTCTGTGCAGTAGATGTCAATCAGTTCATCTCACTGCACTCAAGGATATTGCTCTGCAATTCTTCTCTTATCTTGGTAATTTTTCCATCTCAACTGGATCCTTTGCATTATCAACAAACACTCTCTTTTTCTTTCTCATTGAAGAAAGAAAACTGGCTGGGCGCGGTGGCTCACGCCTGTAATCCCAGCACTTTGGGAGGCCAAGACGGGCGGATCATGAGGTCAAGAGATTGAGACTATCCTGGCCAACATACTAATACCCCATCTCTATTAAAAATACAAAAATTAGCCAGGCATGGTGGTGCATGCCTGTAGTCCCAGCTACTTGGGAGGCTGAGCCAGGAGACTCCCTTGAACCTGGGAGGCAGAGGTTGCATGAGGCAAGATTGCGCCACTGCACTCCAGCCTGGTGACAGAATGAGACTCTGTCTCAAAAAGAAAACTAAACAAAACAAACAAACAAACAAAAACCAGTCTGTTAATTTGATAATGCTTTTTCCTACACATCCACTTCCCCACTCCCCTTTACAGCACAGCTCTTTAAAGAGTTGCTGTACTCACCAGCTCCAGTCTTTCTCATTCTTGCTTGGATGGACTTTAAATAAGATTTCAACCCATGACTCCACTGACATTGTCTGTCAGGGTCACTGATGACCTCTCTTCTGCTGAATTCAATTCTTTGACATCTGATACCCCTTTCTCTCTGAAACACTTTTCCACCCAGCTTCTAAGATGCCACATTCCTGATTTTCCTCCTCCTGGGCCCCTCACTTTTCTTTACCGATTCCCCTTCTTCTTTATGACCTCTGACTATTGGAGGGCCCCAAGGCTCATCAGTCTTAGTATGTGTTCTTTTCTTCTTCTTTTTCTTTTTGAGACAAGGTCTCTCTCTGTCCCCCGGGCTGGAGTGCACTGCGTGGTCTTGGCTCACTGTAGCCGCGACCTCCTGGGCTTTGGTGATCCTTCCGTCTCAGCCTTCTGAGTATCTGGGACCACAGGTGCACATCACCATGCCCAGCTAATTGTTTTGTAGAGATGGGGTTTTGCCATGTTGCCTAGGCTTGGTCTTGAACAACCCACGCACCTTGGCCTCCTAAATGCCGGGATTACAGATGTTAGCCACCATGCCTGGCCCTTATCTACACTTTCTAGATGAGATAAACCAGTTTATAGCTTTAACTATTATCCACATACTGAAGACTCGCAATTTTATATATATATATATATAAAATTTTTTTTGAGACCTGTTGCTCTGTTGCCCAGGCTAGAGTGCAGTGGCCCAATCACAGCTCATTGCAGCCTCAATCTCCTGGGCTCAAGTGATCCTCTTGCCTCAACTTCCTGAGAAGCTGGGACTATTGGCCACCACACCTAGCAAATTTAAAAATGTTTTTTAAGAGATAGGGTTCTCACTGTATTGTCCAGGCTGTTTTGAACTTTTAGCCTCAAGTGATCCTCCCACATTTGGCCCCCCAGAGTGCTGTGATTACAGGCATGAACCACTATGCCTGCTCTAACTTATACCTTTAACTGGATTTCTCACCTGAATTCCAGACTCGTATTCCGTCATCAGCTTGATCTCCCCATTTGAACGTCCAAGAGGCTTTTCAGTTTTAATATGTCCAAAACAGAGTTCCAGGTCTTCCTCCCTAGACCTGCTGCTTCTCAGTTTCTCTATCTTGGAAGATGGCATTACATCCTTCTAGTTGTTCAGGTAAAAAATTCTGGATTCGTCCTTGGCTTCTATCTATCTCACATCTAATTTTCAACTTAACAAATGTATTGGCGCTACTTTTTTTTTTTTTTTTTTGAGACAGAGTCTCGCTCTGTTGCCCAGGCTGGAGTGCAGCGGCGCAATCTCAGCTCACTGTAACCTTCGCCTCCCGGATTCAAGGGATTCTCCTGCCTCTGCCTCCCCAGTAGCTGGGACTACAGGTGAACACCACCACGCCCGGCTAATTTTTTGTGTCTTTAGTAGAGACGGGGTTTCACCATGTTAGCCAGGGTGGTCTCAATCTCCTGATCTCATCATCTGCCCACCTCGGCCTCCCAACGCACTGGGATTACACGCCTGAGCCACCGTGCCCAGCCTCCAGTTTTAGGTTTTTTGTTGAGACACTGTCCTGAAAACAAAAGTCAGATTAACAAAGGAAAAATAAGCAGAAGTGTATTAACGTGCGTTGTACGTAACGTGCGTTGTACGTAACATGCAGGAGAGACCTCAGTTCAGAAGTATTTCTCTCTCTAGGCAACGGCTTACGAGCCTTGCTTAAATAGGATTTTGACAAAGAGCCACGAATCCTATCTAGTGACAAGACAAAGGAAAGACCATCTTCAGGCTTCGAGAAGGTCGGAAAATGCCAGGAGGTAAATCGATGGGAAGAGTGAGGTCTGTTTCTGGGTCCTCTGGCACTGCTGTCTCTGAGCTCTGTTTAGGAGCTGACTGAGGCAGAAAGGAGAGGTAGAGTATGTCCCTGTTTAACCTTTTCACTGTAATCCCCAGCATTTTAGTGAGGAATATTTTGGTTGCCTCCAGTTGCCTCTGTCTGGAATGTTCTTCTCAGAGATAATCCACACGACTCATCCCATTAGCTCCTCAGGCCATTCCTCAAAGGGAATTTTCTGTGAGGCCTTTGCACTCTTTTTTTTTAAAGACAGGGTGTTGCTGTGTCACCCAGGCTAGAGTAGAGTGCATGGCACGATCATAGCTCGCCGCAGCCTCGAACTCCTGGGCTCAAGCAATCCTCCCACTTTAGCCTCCCGAGCAGGTGGGACCACTGGTGCACATCACCACATCCAGCTAGTTCTAAACATTTTTGTAGAGATGAGAGTTTCAGTGTGTCACACAGGCTGGTCTTGATCTCCTGGCTTCAAGGGATCCTTAGCCTCGGCCTCCCAAAGTGCTGGGGTTACAGGTGTGAGCCGCTGTGCTCGGTCCCTGACCCCTCTCGTTAAACTTGTGATCTTTACCTTCTCCCTGTGCCTCTCTTCACTCTACCTTGTACAATCATTTTTCCCCTCTCTGCTTTGCTGTCTTCCCTTGCCAGGACAGAGGCCTGGGAGGGCAGGGGTTGTTATGTCTTTTGTTTTTCTCCACTACTCTATCTCCAGTGCCAAGAACAGTCCTTGGCATACACCTTGTTCATAGTAAGTAGGCCACAAATACTTATTGAATGCATGAGAAGTTAGAGACCTAATTTTTAGCAAACAATGATTATTCCTTGAACAAGTTGTGCTTAGGACTTTCTCAGAATCAAAAGATACTGTTTACTAACAGGTACTGTCTCTAGGAAAAAGTCAGGGATAAAAATATTTTTTATTTGAGTGTTTCTGATACGGCGAGAAGTACTGGCATTTTTCAGTGAACTAAAGTTTAAAATTTTACTTTATAATTTTGTCAAGTAACTAAGGCAATTTAAACAGTATAGTAGCAAACCTTATAGAGGAAACCGTTTTTACCACTGACTCAGTAAAAGCAGTCACTGGTATTTCATGAGTCCCTTGGTAAAAACTGTCCGAGTTCGAAGTCAGGGGCTCCTTCGTCATGATGCTTATGGTCTGAGTGGGGGCATACGCATATCAATGCAGGCTTTAAAAATTATTTTTTTTTTTGAGACAGAATCTCACTCTGTTGCCCAGGCTGGAGTGCAGTGTTGAGAAATGTAAAGTTTATGAATATTGAGAAACGCTGAGTGTATGATAAAATATATTGTTTGCTAGGAAGAATGGATGGCAAGAAACACCTAGCCACTCCCACCCCAAGCAGAAAACTACTTGGGACATTCCAAAGTAGGAGGATAAGGTATAAACATCATACACCGGTTAAAACAATTCTTTGTCTGCCCCTGCCCCCGTGGCTCCCTCGTGGAGAATACCTTTTAGCTCGTTTGTAATCAGTGGTAAGTGGACAACAGCTGCCTACTTGGTATGTTTTATTATGAGAAAATACAGAACACCTGTTTGTTAATAATAATCACCTGTTCAGAGAGACTAAATATGTGGATCAGAATCTGCTGGGGGCCTTCAGCCTGGAGTGCCATCAGCCCCTTGGGCTCTCAGCTGGGAAGGCTGCAGGCCACCCTGGATAGTCCCATGTTGCTGTTCTATCTGGGTGACGGCCTCTCGATTCATTCAGTGCCTCGTGGGTGGGGGTCTCTACAGCCCAGCTGGCCCTCGGTAGTATAGTGGCACGATCTTGGCTCACTGCAACCTTTGTCTCCTGGGTTCAAGCAATTCTTCCATTTCAGCTTCCCGAATAGCTGGGATTACACGTGTGTGCTATCACGTCTGGCTTATTTTTGTATTTTTAGTAAAGACATGGTTTCACCATGTTGTCCAGGCTGCTCTCGAACTCCTGACCTCAGGTGATTCTCCTGCCTCAGCCTCCCTTCGTGCTGGGATTACAGGCTTGAGCCACCATGCCTTTTTGCCCTCAGGGAGCACACAGTCTCTGCTCACAGATACCATAGCAGTGAAACATAGCTGTTGTCTCTCCAATTAGCTTTACAACAAATCTGAGATTTATTATCTCTACTTAGAGATAAAGGAATTTCAAATTAAGAATAAAATCAAGCTGAGAATGAGGTGCAGTGTGTTTGTAAATACCAACTCAGAA